GCTCTGGAGAGGTCCAGGTATGTAGTCACCATTTACATTGTTGGAAAAAGGTATTTTCAATGACTAATTGAGTGGTCTTGCAAAATTCTATCATGCAGTCTCCAGCATCATTTCTATTGCCAAGGCCACATTTTCCAATGACCGATCCTTCCTCTTTGTTTCCAACCTTTGCATTCCAATTGCCAGTAATTATCAATACATCTTGATTGCATGTTTGATCAATTTCAAGCTGAAGAAGTTAGTAGAATTCTTCAATATCATCATCAATGGCTTTAGTGTTTGGTGTGGAAATTTGAATACTAGTGGTATAAAATGGTCTTCCTGGTAGGCATATGGATATTATCCTATCACAGATTGCATTGTACTTCAAGAGAGATATCGATATGCTCTTTTTATGACAAAATGTGACACTACCCCTCTTCAGTCTGTCATTCCCAGCATAGTAAATCATGTGATTGGTCAGATTCAAAATGGCCAATACCAGTTGACTTTAGCTCACTAATGCCTAGGATATTGATGTTTAGACCTTCCATTTCCATTTCATTTTAGACAATTTCCAATTTTCCTAGATCCGTACTACACACATTCCATGCTAAGATTAATAATGGATGTTTAGAGCTGTTTGTCTTCATTTTGAGTTCTGTCCCATCAGCAAATGAAGGTCCCAAAGACTCTACTCCATTTGTGTCATTATGATCAACTTTACTTTGTGGGGTAGCTCTTCCTCAGTCATATTTTGAGTGCCTTCCAACCTGAGGGGCTCATCTTGCAGCACTGTATCTGATAATATTCTGGTGCTCTTCATCATGTTTCAACAGTCAATATTCTGGTGTTCTATTGCGATTCATAGGTTTTCAAGACTACATATTTCGAAGTAGTCTGTCTTTTTTCTCCTAATCTTTATCTGGAAGCTCATCTGAGACTTGTTCATCATGGGTGAATCTGCTGGTATTTAAAATACTGGTGACATACTTTCCAGAATTACAGCAACACGCAAGCTACCACAGTACAACAAGCTGACAGAAAGCATTATTTTGAGATTAAGGACTAACTTTCTTCCAAACTATTTAGGAATGGCTCATTCAAGTCTCCAACAAGTGTTTAAAAAAAAATCAACATGCCTGAATTATTAAGTGTAAGGTACTTTTTTAAGGGCACATTTTAAGAATGAGAAAGAAGTTAACTACATTACTTAATGAATCCTGCAGAGCCACACCATTCACTTGCCTAGAATGGATTCTGGTGTTTTGAAACATGTTTTACCAACTACGATATTTCAAAGACTTCCAAATGCCAAAATGCCAGTGAAAGTAACCATAGGTTTGTTATATGTGGGTCTATTCTGGCATTATTAATGATATTGTTATATGTGGGTCTCTCTGATATTATTTTTTATTTTTTTAATTTTTAAAATAGACTATATTCCAAGACATTCCAATTAACAATACTTTTTTGGGGAAGTAACACACAAATGTTACCTGCCAGACACCAGCTGTACTTTTTGTTAGTTTCTTGTAACGTATAAACCATGTGCCACTTTTTATGTATGAAAATGTTTTTCCTTTAAATCACACAAACAAAAAAACATAAATTAACTGCTACCTTTAGTAAATCATATTTCTTGCCAGATACCAGCTAAGCACTATATGTATATAACATATGTATATACATATCTTCATCCATGTTTTATGTATCTACATATTTAAATGGACAATTAGATACATAAACCAGATTCAGATTTGTTTTTGGATAATCAAGCCAGAAATCCCAGTTTTTGGATATTGGTATGCTTAAACTTTACAGGAAATTCAAAATAATTTCTAAGGGGGGAAATTTTGGTAAAGGACACTGTTGTTGCCAGGTGTCATCAAGTCGGATCCGACTCATAGCGACCCTATGCAAAGTAGAACAAAACAATGTCCGAACCTGGGCCAACCTTACTGCTGCTGCCACACTTGAGTCCATCAATGCTGCCACCTGGCCAATCCATCTCGTTGGGGGTCTTCCTCTTTTTCTCTGATCCTCCATCTTACCAAGCATGATATCCTTCTCTAGCCACTGTTCCCTCCTGACAATATGTCCAAAGTATGAGAGACGAAGTTTGGCCATCTTGGCCTCAAAGGAGCACTTTGGCCGTACCTCTTCCAAAACAGATCTATTGGTTCTTTTGGCAGTCCATGGCACTTTTAGTATTCTCTTCCAACACCACAATTCAAAGGCATCAATTATTCTATGATCTTCCTTATTCACTGTCCGGCTTTCATGTCCATATGAGGTTATTGAAAATACCATGGCTTGGGTCAGGCTCATTTTAGTCCTTAAGCTGATATCTTTGCTCTTCATCACTTTAAAAAGTTCCTGTGCGGCAGATTTGCCTAATGTAATACGTCGTCTGATCTCTTGACTGCTGCTTCTGCGAATGTTGATAGCTGATCCAAGAAGAACGAAGTCCTTGACAACGTCAATCTTTTTTCTTCATTGATAAGAAAATGGTTTACTGGTCCAGTGGTGAGGATTTTTGTTTTCTTGACATTAAGATGTAATCCATATTGAAGGCTGTGCTCTTTGATCTTCATCAGTAAATGTTTTAAGTCCTCTTCACTTTCAGCAAGCAAGGTTGTATCATCTGCATATTGCAGGTTGTTAATGAGTCTTCCTCCAATCTTGATGCCACGTTTTTCTTCATAGAACCCAGCTTCTCATATTATTTGCTCAACATACAGGTTGAATAAGTATGGTGAAAGAATATAACCTTGTTGCACACCTTTCCCAATTTTAAAACATTCAGTGTTCCCATGTTCTGTTTGAATAACTGCTTCTTGGTCTAGGTACAGATTCCTCATAAGTACAATTAAGTGCTCTGGAATAGTCATACTTCGCAATGTTGCCCATAGCTTGTCATGATCCACACAATCGATAGCCTTTGTATAGTCAAAAAAGCATAGGTAAACATCTTTCTGATATTCTCTGCTTTCAGCCAAGATCCATCGGACATCAGCAATGATATCCCTTATTCCACGGCCTCTTCTGAATCCAGCTTGAACCTCTGGAAGTTCTCTGTCAATGTATGATTGTAGCCATTTCTGTATTACCGTTAGCAAAACTTTACTCGCTTGAGATATCAAAGAGATTGTCTGATGATTTCCGCATTCCGTTGGGTTACCTCTCTTTGGAATGGGCACAAATATGGATCTCTTCCAATCAGTCAGCCAAATAGTTGTCTTCCAAATTTCTTGGCAGAGATGAGCGAGTGCCTCCTGTGCCGCCTCACTTTCTTGAAAGATTGCAATTTTTATTCCCTTTAGATCTAGGAAAACATACTAATTAATATTATTAAGGAATATAAAAAAGCTGAGTATGAGTAGTAGGATCCTCTAGGTTTTATGACTTGACTTCAGGATTAAATTTCTTTTCTTTCTTTCCTGTAAGTCTAAATTGTGAAAATAAGACTATTTAATCAAATAGAGTAAAAGTAATAAAACTCACATTTTCTGTATATATTAATCTCAAAAATCAATAGGGTCTCTAGTGAAATCTATATTATGTACATAAATTGTTTCAGAATTTCCTGGTTGACTGTAGATGATTTTTATTCCTTCACCTTCTTCTTCCCCATGACCATCTCCCCAGTAGAAGGCATTAAACAATTTCGGGTAATAAATGTTTAAGGAAGTGTGACAACTACATTTCCTGAAGTACCTAATTTATTGTCATAAAACGAAGTTGGTGGTGGCTGTGTGCCATCAAGTCGGTTCCAAATCATAGTGACCCTAAATAGAATTTCCAAAGCTGTAAATGTTTATGGGAGTGAGAAACCTCATCTTTCTCCCATACAGCAACTCTGGTCGATTCTAACTGCTGACCTTGTGGTTACCAGCCCAGGTCGGAAGGGAAATCTTTTACTTAAATTTCCCTTATACTTGATTATATCAAATTAATTAGAAATACTGCATTCTGAAAGGGTGGTGGCAATCAGTAGGTAACTGATGATCAGGGAGTTCAAACTACTTTGACTCAAATTTAGAAGAATACATTTTAATTGTGAAAACAGCAACAACTTTTACTGAGTGCTTACTATCTGAAAGGCACTATTCTACGTGCTTTATACATATTACCTCACTGAACAGACACAATAACTTTAGGAGAGAGGTACTGCAGTAAAATCTGTGAAAGTCAGAAGCCTTTCAGAAAAAGAAAACTCAAGTATTTTCCACTGGAAATTGGAGAAAGCAGAAAAGTGGTAAGACTGCACCCTGCCAGAGGTAGAGAAGTTGTGAGACCTGAAAAAACAAGGCAGTCCCGTTCAGTTTTGGGTTTCACTTGCTTTATTGTCCTTATTTTACAAAGGAGGAAACGAAACCACAGAGAGCTAAAAAACAGATTAAGTTCACACAATAAGCAGTGGAGTCTAGATCAAACTCAGGCAGTCTGGTTGAAAAACCTGTGTATTTGGCCCCCATACTATATTCTTTCTCTTGAATGTGGTGGGGAAAAAATTTGTGCTAGAAAGGGATGACTGTATTTCAGGCCCTGGCCTATTAAGCAACCCCACACACAGATTTTAATATGCAGTAATGTTGTTTGGGGGCCAGTAATAATTTAGTACCCCAAATTTGTTATGCAGCTTTAAGCATATGACGGAAAAACCAGTATACTTGTGTCTACTATAATGAGAATGAAAAGTCTGATCTAATCTTGACATTGTCAACATTTACACTAGCTACTGTTTCCTCATCTGTATAATGGGATGACAATAACAACTCAGATTCTCAATGGCCTTCAAAATACTAGACTTTGAATGAATCCAATGTACCACATAACTCCAAATGGTAAACTGTATCGTGCTCCCCCAAGATTTTGTGCCCTTACCGTTCCTGTGACTTTTCATCTTTGGAAAGAATAAAATAAACACACGTTACCTCTTAATTGGATTATACTATATTAGGATATACAAGCAAAAACAACATGCATTACACAGGAAACACAATGTGAACAGTTACCATAGACTGCCAAAAAGGTGGTCCTCCAATCACTGCCAGCAAATGCATGATTATTATGAAGATTTGTACTTCAGTCACATCAATTCTGATTAGGTACAAAAAGCCAAAAAGCAGAATTATTCAAAACAAATTCAGGTTAATTACTTGTAAGCTTAGCAGCATTCCTCTATCATGCACAACAGGAAAAAAATCTCAAATATTGAGGAAAGGGGAAAAGGAGACATCAAAAATTTGTTATGAACAAAATCAAATAAAATCCAGAGCCTTTTAATTGAATTTGATGAATTTCACAAGGCAATAAAAACCCCTCCTTTCCAGAAGAAATTTTTGACGTACTGAAGCTGGGCTGAAACTATAGTTTAACCTCTCCCACCAAACAAAAGGGATTTGGGAATAAATGTCAAGTATCAAGCAGAGGACTACACATTGCACTGCTGTATAATATGAACTTGTGTAACAAGTGCTTTGTAGACTCAGATGGAAATAATGATGAGCTTTCACTAAAGTAATGTACATCTCTGAGACCTTGCAAAACTGCCTAATCTTTAGATTTAATACTTGCCACGGTATGTGTGTGAAAAATTCACCCCAATTTTTCTCAAATTATTATTCCCACTAGGTCAACTACCCTAAGATTTCTAGAAGGAATTTGATGAAAGAAGTCAAGAATTAGCTGTGGGATTGCTGAAAATTTTCTCATAGTCAAGAAGAAATAATTCTGATGCAAAAATAGGGCAGTAGAAATTAGAAGGCTGAAAGTCTGAAAAAAAGAATATTGGCAAAAAAATTGAGGAGAGCAAAGCAAAGCATAAACTGGTATTCCTTCCTTTCCCTAGACTTGCACTTTGTATAATCTCGTGGCTATCATTCTCAGATCACTGCAGCCAAATGCCTTTTGATTCTGAAAATTTATCTTACAGATGTGCTTGCACAAAATGGTATTTGTACAAGGGTCTGTATGGTCGTATATTTATAATAGAAACATTAAAAATAAAATCCCTCAATAAGAAAGTTGTTACATAAATTATGGTACTTCCATAAAAACTGATTATTTTGCAGTTTAAAATAAAAAACAGTAAGGTAGCTCCCTACACAATGATCTGGAAAAATATGCAAGATACATTAAGGCTATATATTACAGAATGGTGTATATACTATTTTTTGTGTGAAAAAGAAAAATCTTCTATTTTTATTGTTGCCAGTAATTGCCTAACAAATTTCTGGAAAGGTAAGTGGTCATCTATTATTGGGGAAGACAGGGTAGAAACTGGGAAGTTGGGGAATAAAGGTAGGAAGAAGACCTTTCACTACATACTTTTTTTATAATGCTAGTTTTTAAGTTGAATGAAGAATTTATCCCAGAAGGTAAATTAAAAAAAAAAAAAGTAATCAGCCTAAGAAAAATAGATACCAATAATAGCAGGGGGAGGGGAGAAGGGGCGGTATTTCAATTCCTAGAGCAGAAGAGAGCTCCCATTTCTAAAATGGATACATAAAGCAGACAGTCTATGTGAGCTTAAGATACGTACACTCTCATGTCCATAATAAACAACTGGGTTGAAACCAGTCTCTCACAACCAAAAAAACTGGTTTTTGTTTGCTCTAAGGATTTTTTTTTTTTTTTAACAGAAGCGTATTAAGCTGCAAACATAAGGGATGCAGTTATCTTGATGTACAAGTTTATTGGGGTGGGGGTAAAAAAAAAAAAGGACGAATTAGGCTAAAAAGAATCTGTAGAGCTGACCTGGTGAATGGCGTTGCCAATAAGGGGGATTAGACTCAGTAGCAGACTCAGGAGACTAAGCAGGTGTCAAAGATGATCGACTCTGTCTTGGGTGGAGGAGGGTAGACATCTTACCACAATTTGCTGGATATATGAAGTAGCCTTTTGGAAGGGGAAGGGCCAGAAGTATAGAATTACAAAATAAAAATGGAGGGAAACCCATGCAATTAATCTTGTACCTTGGGCAAATCTAAGAGAATAGGACACATGAAAAATTTTTACAAAGTGCCAAATTGGGTTTCCTAGAAAAGTTTTATGGAATATCCTGTTTGACAATTTTGGAAGACATTATTTTCTAAACCATTCATTCAGATACTGTCATTGTATTTATATCAACAATGCCTTAATGTTAGGAGAGAGGGTCGGGGGAAAAAACTTACTTACCAGTTGGTAGTTAGCTAGAAATATATTATCCTGTTTGCTTATCTGATTTAGAGCAAAACTTTGTACTCCAGGATGAGTCCTTCCTACTCTCACAAAGCTGAATCATGAGATCTGCCTATTATCACTCCTGGAGGTGTGGTTATAATCTTGAATCTCAATGAAAAAGAGTGTGGGTGCAAGGCCATCCCAGGCATGGAAACTAAAGCAAGCTAAGAAGGACGGAGGGCAGAAATGATTAACAATAAGCAAACAAGTTAATGATTCCTGTTTAGAAGAGAGCTAAAGAGATTGTTCATCTCTCCCCCTTTCCACAAACAGGTCTCTTGCTGTGGGATAAATTTACCCTAACACATACTTAGGAGAGAGCTCATCTTAACATGTTTGGGTCATGCAGAAAGGAGCATACTATATAAAAGCATGAATGTGGCATTTTTGTAACCACTACCTTTAAAAATTATGATTCCTTTTAAGATGGAGAAGAATGGGTTACATTTTAAAGTGTTGGGATAAAACAAAAACAAACAAAAAATCCACCATCATCAAACTTACAAAAAAGCCCTTTAAGACACAATGGGACTGATGGTGGAAGAGAAACATCAATGGTTAAATTAATAATAATAATCTACAGCATTAGATGTCCAGAGCCGAAAAGTTGTAGACAGGGAAAACTAGACAACGATAAACATAATTTTCTTGTAACCATGAAGGTATTCAAACACCTTGAATGCCTAAGCTGTAAAATTATTTTGAATTTCGACTTTATTTTAGTATGTTATCAGAGGACAAAAATGGATTCTCCTAGTTGCTGTGGAAACTGAGCACTCTGGTCAGAACAGACTCATGTGACTACAACAAATCTGCGACAAACCAATGTACTGCTGGTTATCATAGAAAAAAAAAAAAAAATGGAAAGGAACAAACCACTTGTGGAGTCTAAACTCCCCCATTTTTCTGATAGGGATAGGGAAGGCTTTCAATGTGGTAATTCAAAGTCAAAGTAACCTTCAACACTCACAATAAACCTCTTGTGTCAACAATTTCTTACACTATTCTAATGGCCTAATGATTAAGAAGCAAAGAGAAACAAAGATAAATTAATAGGAGTCATTTTAACTTCTAAACAAGGGAACAGAGAATCTCTCCAGTGGGAATGAGGCTCTCTAGCAGCCTTTATCACCACAGAAAATCAGCTTAGAAAGCTCCTTGATCAGATCACTTACTACATTAGAAGAACAAAATGGCTTTTAAAAGTAATAAAAGGGTATAAACAACTCCAAACATGTTTCCTAACTGAAGAAAACTTTCTATTTTCAAAGTTTCACTTTCATTTCTCAGAATTCAGAGACATATCTAAGGCATGCATTTGGTTTGAGTTAGACTAGCCTCACTATTAAGAGTTGCAAAGAGATTTAGCTGATACTCTGTGAGAGCCGATAAACATGTTAATTATCTTTCACCAGAAATTTTGCCTTTCCCTCTAAAAGTTGAAAGAAGACAACTTATTTTACATCTCCATGTGGCATGCCCATTTCAAAGGCATAATTGTAATTCATTTGTAATCAAAAATGTTTTTGTTAAACTAAAAGTAGTAAATATACCTGTGTTGTAATTTAAGGGTTGGTTATTAGTTTGGCCAAGGAGTCCTGGTGGTGCAATGCTTAAAGTGCTTCACTGCTAACCATAAATTCTGAGGTCCAAAACCCACCAGCTGTTCCACAGGAGAAAGATGTGGCAGCCTGCTTCTGTAAAGATTACAGCTTTGGTAACCCCATGCAGGCAATTCTACTCTGCTCCATAGGTCATTATTAGTTGGAATCAACTTGACAACAAGTTATTTTTGGTATTAGCTTGGCTAACAAAGTTATGAACTAGGGATAAAGTCATTATGTCAAAGTAACTCTGATTTGCACTATTTTACTTTTGAACTATTACTCTGTTTAAAAGGTCATCCATAGAACCCTACAAAAATTGCTAGATAACTCAGATTAACAATTATTCCCAAGTGCATCTGAAGTTCTAGAGAAATTGTGTATAACCAGAGCATGGCATTCATTATACACTTTACCAGAAAAACCAGAGGTGCAGTGAGGTGTTGGTGAACTAAAATTAAGATTAGCCTAGAAAGTCAACATACTGTCTTCCAATATTTCATTTTACACCATTGATAAGGGACAAGCATGGAAAGCTTAGATCAATGCTAAATAACATTAACCATACAGCTGTGATAACTATAAGTACTGTTAATTCAAGTGTTAAATATAAACAGACAAATCTAAATGTTTATTTCTGAGGTAAGCTAAATTATTAAAACAGTATTACGTACCCTGTGATCTTCAAGTTACCTGAGCAGATTAGAAAGAAAAAATCCACTGAGTGCCTTTGAGTAAGAGGAGAAAAAGAAAGACAAAAGCTAGAATAAAACAAGTCTCCCTATAAAAGAGGAACTAAAACTTAAGTTTCAAATTGAAGGGGTAGTCAGTCCTTGTAACCTCTAGAAAAAGTAGAAAAGAATTAAATGGTGAGTCCTCTCAATTAGTAAAATGAATCTGTCAGGGACCACCAATTTACTCATTCTCTCCAAGTAGCACAACTAATTGCAGAAGAAGTCTGGAAACTATTGGGAACTGTTTAACACCAATCTTCAAAATGAATATAAGAATTACTGTGTGCCAGGCACTGTAATTACCAAAGTGCATTATTAACTGTTTTAACCTTTACAATACCCTAGCTAGGAAGTATCACTATTTTATAGATGAGGAGTTTGAGTTCAAAAAGTTAAATGACTTTTCCTAGGGTTGTTGTTGTTACGTGCCGTGGAGTCGGTTCCGACTCATAGCGACCCTGTACAGGGTTTCCGAGGCTGTAAATATTTTCGGGAGCAGAACACCTCATCTTTCTCCAGAGGAACAGCTGACCCT